TAATCAGTGCAGATGAACAACGACTTGGGCATCAAATAACAAGGATAAGAACAGGGCGGCTTTCGCTAAGCCCCACGATATATTCTACCAAAAAAGACTACTTCACTTGCAAAAGCAGCAATTTTCAATTCGACCGTTTTACCAGCTATGTTATGTGGATGTGAGATGTGGAGTACCAAGCTTGCTGGAGACAAAATTAGCAGTGTTTAACGGGCAATGAAGCGACAAACGGTTGGCGTCAACAGGTTACAGCACATTCTTAATGAAGTGCTCCGAGCTAAACCTGGTGTGAGGGACATTATCGAAGCAATATAAGCCAGTAACAAGAGACTCGCTGGTCACACGCAAGGATGACAGCCAACAGATGGACGAAGCGGATGATGGAATGATACCAACGTACTGTAAAACGAACAATGATGAGGTCAGCAGGAGGTGGAGATACTCAATAGTGTGCCTATGGACAGCGCAACAGCGAGGTGAATAAAGTTACCAGCTGTATCGATAGCGCAACAACCAACATCGGTAACATACGGTTGCTCAAGTATTCAAGTAGTATCTATTTCATTTAAACCTGTTAAAGAACAAGCAAGATATTATTTCAAGCGATTTTGTTATTTTCCTGCTTAATGGCTCATGAAGTCGAACACGAATTGTTTGAAAGAGAGACAGAACAATCAAACAGCCAGCATAACTTTTTAAGATGTAGAAGTTTTTCGCGAATTTGCTCTTCTTTCTAGTTTTTGACTCCATTTCAGTTCTAATGTTACGATGGTTAAGTGCAGAGAGATAGGTAGATTCGAAACAACGGATATCCGCAATGCTAGAAGTAACTCTCGCCTGTCGATGACCATAAAGTTAATTTGATGTCGAAACGCGTTATTTGGCACAGTCCAGTACCACTAAGGACGTTTCTTAAAAAAAGAATTACCTCGAAGTCTAGAAAGTCCAAAAGTGAAATTCAAAAAAAAAAAACCAAATTACTATGCGCTGTTCATCGCCTTCTCGCTGACGGAATGCATGTTCTAGGACACTATACATAATCCTGCCAATGCCAAATGATGGCTCAATCACTGATGGGTAAAATTCTTGTGTATGCACCTGAATTAAAACATTTTACATAATATATTTCGTTCTGACAGACACAAGCGAATTCAGAAGCAAATAAAAACCGAAACTGATTTTCCACTTACAGTCATTTAGAAACTCATAAATATTTTTCAGTCTAGGTTGAATCATTATACAGTAGTACACTCCTTTTTATCGCTTTGTGCTTTTTAACAATAGTACAAAACGCATATCGTCACGGGGTTGTGTGTGTGCGTGTGTCCCACATTTTGTCCCGCACCTTCAACTCAGGAACCACGAAGGCTAGGCGGCTGAAGTTTTAGTATAGTGTTCCCCGCCAACGGGTTACGCGGCAAATTTAAATTCAGCCTTCCCATACCCGCGGGCAATACATACGGCCCCTAAAAATTTTTCGGGTAAAATCAGTACCTCGGGAACCACGGAAGCAAGAAAGCTGAAATTTCATGGGTATGTCCCCTGACCGCATGCAACCAAGAAAACTCAAATTCACCCTTCCTGTACCCGCGGATAACACGTAAGGCTCCGTAAAAGTTTTTCGGGTAAAATCAGTATCTCGGGAACCACGAAAGCTAGGAAGCTGAAATTTTGCCTACCTGCGACCCAGAGAACGTGCGACCCAGAGAACTTAAATTTAACCTTCCTTTACCCGCCGGTAACACGTACAACATCGTAAAAGTTTTCGGGTAAAATTATTATCTCGGGGACCATGGAAGTTGGGAAGCTGAAATTTTATGGGTATGTCCACTGACCACGTGCAACCCAGAAAATTTAAATTCAGGTT